CTGTGGTGCTGGAGAAGAGTATTGAGAGTACCATGGACTGCTAGGAAAACAAACAGTTTCATCCTGGAAAGGGTTAAACTGGGTGGCTCCTTGGAGGGAAGGATTCTGAGGCTCTGTCTAACATACTTTGGACAAGTTGTAAGGAGATACCGGTCCTTGGAGAAGGACATCATGCTTGGGAGGGTGGAGGGACAGCGCAGGAAGGGAAGACCCTCTATGAGGTGGATTGATTCAATGACTGGGGTAGTCTAGATGGGTGTGTCAGAGGCAGTGCGATTGGCACAGGGCAGAGCAGAGTTTAGGGCTGTTGTACATAGGGTCGCTATGAGTCGCAAGCAACTCCATGGCACATAACAAAAACAACAAACAACATACCTAATAGTGGAATAGCTAGGTCAAAGATACTTGTATTTTCAGCTCTTTAAGGAAACATCAAACAGCTTTCCATAGTGATTGCACCATCTTATTTTCCTACCAGGAGTGTATGAGAGTTCCAATCTCTTCACACCCTCATCAGTATTTGATGTTAACTGTCTCATTGAACATTGCTATTATTGCTTGGTTGAGATGAAATCTCATTGTTGTTTTGATTTGCATTTCTCTAATATCTAGGGATCTTGAGCATTTCTTGAGGATGTATTTGTTGGCCACCAAATGCCATTTTTGGTGAAGTAGCTACACGTATCTTCTGTCCAGTCAGAAATTTTAGTTTTTTTGACCCTTGGTACTTGCTTCCTACTTACCAAACTTATATTTAGCAACCTTGAAACACCAGAGATTTTTAGCAGTCAATTTCATGTCTAGGATAAGTTTTAATTTCTCATGGTGTTTCTCATTATTTTACCCAAAATGCTCAGCCTGGGTTTTGACTTCTAAATAGACATAGCAAGAATAATACAAGGAGTAGGCAGACACTTGTGGGAAGATGGACTTGTGAAAACTTTATTTTTAGGAATTTTGACTAAAACATATTGGTATACTATTTTGAAAAATCTACTTGATTATTTTATTTATTTCTTGATTGATTGATTGTCAAAAACATGTATGAGGAGCCAAGAGGGTAAGGTGTAGGAGCAGAAGGGTGAAGATGAGTAGGGATGAAATCACAGGGTTGTGCAATTTGGTGGATAGAGGGAGTGTGTAAAGGAAATGAGAAAAATCTCAGGGGAACTGGAAGAGACAGGATAATGGTGGGCCTAATCCAATGGTGATTAATTTTATTTTTTTTTTTACAAAGAGATTGTCTTTTATTTGTGGTTTTCCCTTTTGGGAACAGGGATGCAGACTCTGGCTGCTTCATGTTGAGATGAAGGTGGAGGGAAGCCCACTTTAACACTTAACTGGTGGTTTTGAGTTGAAGCTGCATGCCTTCTTGTTCAGTTGGAAGATACTTTCATGACATTTTCTGCCTTCTGGACTGCAAAATGTTTGTGTGGGTGAGTGCAGTGTGAGTGGCTGGCTGAACTTTGAGGTTCCATCCACCTTTACTTTCTTAGCTGGCAGTTTTATTTCCTTTTTGTCTCTGGAACTGGGCTCAGGGTTCAGGTTCTGGAACAAGACTCAGTGTTCAGGTTACCTATAGGGAAGGGAGCAAACCTTAGAGAGAACCAACTTGTGAGTTACAAAGAAAAGTGCTTTGGAGGTGTTATTCACAGGGCTACTGGAGAAGGAGATGGAGGAAAGTGGTTTAGATAAAGTTCCTCATACACGCCAGGCAGCTCTCCCCAGGGGCCAGGCAGCTCTCCAGGGGCAGGGCAGCTCTCTGCTGCCAGGGGTTTCTCCCCACGGGCCAGATGGCTCTCCCCCAACCCCAAAACTCTTCTAAGGTCTAGACCTTGCACCCTACTGGGGACCGCGGCTGGGGACAGCACTTCTGGCTCTAGCACCACCATCTCCCTCCTCTCTGCCAAGTGGTCTAATTGTAACTCGAAGTAGGTATTATTACTTTGTCCTTCCACAAATGGAAAAGGGGCTTCCAGAGTGGTGAACAGACCCACTTAAGGTTGAAAAAGTAATAAAGGCAGTAGAACAAGGATTCAAACCAAGGTTGTGTGAGGTGGTGAGCTCTGCACAGCGCTTAGGTTGGCCATCTTTCGTCTTCCTCTGCAAGCAAAATCCTGCTGAAGATCATTTGCAAAATGGCCAGAACGGTACATGCAGGCTGTGATTGTGGAAGCACTTCCCAGTTATTTTCTTTATATAAAATTATTTGAGTGTCCAAGGAAGCTTTCTTATCATAAGATTTTCATTTTTGTTTGAATCCAACAAAATAATGTAAAAATTTCCATTCAATGTTTTGTCAAAATAAATTGCCAAGTAAAAAGTATGTATTTTCTGTTTTAAGACATAGGGGACAAAGATGTTGAGAAACTGGCCTGTCATCTGGGTCTGGGGTACAATTACATTTGCTGACCACTTTGATTGACTTGCTTCAGCTTTCTTGTCATTTGCAGAACCCAGCTGGTGACTCCAGACTTCCCAAAGCAGAGCCTGAACAGGAAATGGAACAACTGAAGACACAAGTGATTCGCCTTCAAGCTGAAAAGGCAGATCTGCTAGGCATTGTATCCGAGTTACAGCTCAAATTGAACTCAAGCGGCTCCTCGGAAGACTCCTTTGTTGAAATTAGGATGACTGTAAGTTTTGTAAAAATCAAATTATAAAACCTCACCTGGACAGTTTAAACCATGGTAACATTACTTTTTAACACAAAGAAGTCAAATAATGAGGAGATGTTAGTGTATCAAAGATAAATTGACTCATTTTTTTAAAAAAATAACATAGTGCCTTAGAAAAGTTGTCATAACTTAAATGGAAAACTATTGGCATTGAAACATAGTGACTTTAATGAGGAAAGAGTTCTTTTTTTTTTCCTTTCCTTGTTTTGTACTGTTGAATTGGATCTGACTGGCACAGGAGGAAATTTGCCCCTCCTTCTCCAGCAGAACATTTGGTGGATTTGAACCGGGCTCCTTCAGGATTGCAGCACAGCTTCTTGCCACGAGGCCACCAGAGCTCCCAAGAGTTCATTGTTTCAATTATTCTTTTGTTTTTGTTTGCTTCTTTTTTTTCCTATATGGCTTAACAAACCAGACAAAAATACGAGCATAAACATTCTATCATTTTGCAGACCACATCTCAAAATTGTGTTAAGTAGTTCATTTAAATGAACACAGTCATGATCAAATGTAGTCAATGAGTGACTTTTAAGCATTTTTAAATACTAAGTTTTTTAAACAAAATCTTATGAAGAGTCATGGTATGTTTATACATAAGGAGTTTCGTGTTGAAATGATGAATAAGACAAGAGGACCTACTGTTATCTTGTCTATTCAGTGCTGTTTAGAAGTTAGATCTGGCAATAAGACAAGAAAGAAGAATAAAATGTATTCAAAATTATAAAAAAGAGGTAAAATAATTCTTTTCACGGATTACGTGAATATATAAATTCCCAAAGAGTGTGCAGGAAATCTTTTAGAGCCAGTAGTGGAATTTAGTAGATTTGGAGAATACAAGTCAACAAAAATCAGTTGATTTTCTATACACCAGCAATGAAAGATCTGAAAGGAAATTAGAGCATCATTTTTATTTATAGTAACATCCAAGAGAGAGAGATGTAATCAAGGATGCTTTAGGCAGAATATTA